GGTGTACAAACGCCTCACTATGTTCATCCTGGATGACCACGACACAGACCTGGACCTCTGGCCTTGGTGGGGAGAGCCCATTTACCGAAACGGGCAGTATGCTGGCAAGACCACCAGCAGTGCCTATAGCTATACCCTGGAGCGCCACGTTTGCCTTGGCTTTGTGCACAATTTTTCTGAGGACACTGGGGAAGAGCAGGTGGTGACAGCAGATTTCATCAACCGGGGAGAGTATGAGATTGACATTGCGGGACAGCGGTTCCAGGCCAAGGCCAAGCTCTACCCAGTCGCCTCCCTCTACCACCATAGGCGCCGAAAGGATGACGTGGAGCTAAGTGACCTGCACGGGAAGTAATGCCAGGCAGTCTTAGCTCCTCCCCATCTTACCATATTAGGAGTCTCTTTTCTGATACTATCTCTCTTCTTGATTTAACCTTTACCTCCCATCTCTTTAACTCCTTGATATAATTATTTTAAACTTTTTGCTTTGCAACCTTTTGTCCTTTCATCTCTTCCCCCCTGTTGTAATTCCCCATCTCCTAATACTTGCTCTGGGCTGTTTGTCTCATCCCTCCACCTGTCTTACACTTCATGGTGACAGTCTGACTTCAAATGCTGTGTGCAGGCCTCAGGGTAAAAGTCCATCTCTGTGAGGCCAGGTGTTCTCAGAGCTGTATGTTTGTGCCTTTCAGCCAGGCAGCTCACCCTCTTGTTCCATTGTGCTGTGGGTTGGCACCCTGATACCTCTAGTAAGATGACCATCTACCTCACTGATGAGAGGCATCGTGTGGGTGTTATTGGGCTGCAGTAGAGACAAAGTTAACCTGGCACCATTCCTAGTCTCCCTGCTGAACTAATCAGACTGTAGGGCCACCTGCTTATTACATCTCTATAATGAGGGGTTTTGCTTGTTTGGCTGAGTAAACAAGCCACAGTATTTGAAAGGGAAAAAACATGTTGCCTTTTGTGTTGCTTTTCTTCCTGGTATTCAATCATCCCATCTTGATTTTCCTTGCCTGACCTTTTGGCAGTAGGCCCACTAGCTCAGCAAATGTTTCTCTACCTTGAGAAAAGGGAGAGCATCCTGTCCATACTGAGTTCAAGAGTACTGGAATCCCAAGTTCTGCTTCCTCTGGCACAGAACAGACAGACGACCCCACGCAGGTCCAGAGTTCTGCATGTGGAGAGTAGTGTACGTTATGTGAACCTAGCAGACTGTTCTCCATCCGTTCTTTCCCTACCTCTCTGTCTCCTCTGGAATAGAAAATGACTTGGAGTGCCTCGAAGAAGGCCATGCACAGTTAAGTAGCGTCTCTTTGAAGGGTGAAACTTGAGTGATAGCACAGACTATACTATTCATCCCAACACATAATTCCTCTCACACCTAAGATGTCCTAATCTGATTTTTTAAAAGTATGAACTGCTGTTAGAGATGTAACTAATTAAATTGTTGCCTTTGTCATTTTGGCATCATAGAAGCATTGGCTCTGAAAGTCCATTAAAGAAGATGCTTTCAGGTGCTGGCCTACTGATGCATGTCAACATACCCACGTAGACTGGCTTCTTCTAGACGTTTCTTGCCGTGTCCCCAGCTGACAACACCTCCTTGATTAGTGCCCACCTTTTAAAGAGGTATTAGTTGATTTAATAGCTGAGAGGTGTTGCCCAGCTGGAGAACAGGAGCTGTGCCAATGCAGGTGATACACATTTCATCTTGGCCGTAAGTAGAGGTTATACTCCTAAGACTAGCAAGATGAGACTCTTCTAGGGCATCACTTGTTTACTGAGTGCCCTGAAGCACATTATTTTTTGGCACTTTATAGTTCATCGTTGAAGTCTCTTTGTTCATTCACATATAGGCAGTCTGAATCTGGTAGTTTTGTTTGGTCCTAAATCTGAAGGGGGTGACTCTTTCACACCTCTAGCATAACTGACAATCAAAACATCTAATTTGTGTGTCATTTCCATTTCTGGGGCAGTGGGGCCACAAGTGTTTGTCTTGTGTGACAACTCACCTCTCTCTAGGGATTCGAGGCATTCTGGACTTGAGTTTAGGTGGTTGATACTTTTTTCTCTGAAATAATCCATTGTCATCTCTTGTGCTGTCTTGGGGAGGGGAAGGGCTCTGCATGCTTCTTCTATCTTATCAGCATATTCAACTGAAAAATCTTTTTGAACCTAGAAACACAAAGTATATTAGCCTCAAACAGATGAAGACCCCGGGTTGCAAGTTTCCTACACACCTTCTCCTCCCTTGAAATATCTTCTAAGCCCCTCATTGCATGTCCTGATTCTTGGCATGGCCATGGTCATTTGACTTACACTGAAGCACACAGCAGAAAGTATCCCATCTGTGACACTGTCACTGAAGTCAGAAAAGCTCTAATTCAGAAAGTTCTAAGAGTAAAAAGGGACAAAAACTACCTGCTTAGACAACCTGTTTGAGGTTATCACGTACACAGCATGAGTAGGACACGCTCTAGGACAGAAGGGAACAATTACCACTACAGTGCTCTTCTGGGAGTCCCTGTACCCCCAGTGTGAGCCATGCCGTTCAGGCTAGGGCCAAAGATCCCATTTCTGCAGGAGTAGAGCACAGGCACTAAGAGATGACTCATCACCCTGATTTCCGGCTTTGATTCATGGAAATGTACTGGCATCTGAGTGTCTTCACCATCCTTTCAGAACCTGAGGCAGGTAAAAGGGAATCTTTTGTGACCTATGGTCTTGGTTCTCACGTGGAAGGCTGTGCCTGGTAGGACAGCTCACTGCCTGCTTTCAGAGATTAGCTACAAGGTTCATTTTCATCTTTTTGTGGCTTCTTGGGCAGTGTAGTCAGCAAGGATCCTCGTTAGTATCTAAGGCAGAGGTTTGTGCAAGTGTTTAATACTAACGAATAACTTTTTTTTTTTTTTTTTTAATATTCCCAGCATACTCCCCCACACAGCATTTTATCAGTATGAGTTTGGGGAAATTTTCTAATGAGGAAAAGATTTTCATCTCACACATCATTTCTAGGCACATGGATTCTGGGAGAAGCACAGCTGAGTGGGAGAAATGGCAGGTGAAATATTAAGACGTTTTAGGCTTTAACTATGACATCCAACAATAAGTTGTAAGTTCTGGGTGGGCCTGTGGGCCTGTGAGCACCTCCCCCACTGCCTCCACTTTAAGGTGCTGAATTATAAGGCTCCTTCATGGTCAGTATGGGGCTCACATTTGCAGTCCCTCTTCACTAACAAATACACTATTTTTCCAGAGGACTATTTTCATATGTGTTTGCTATCTTTTTGTCCATTGTGTACCAGAGTTTTTCCTTATATTAACATGATTCTTGAGTTCTCTGAGCAGAGTGTCCTTGGAGATTTACACATTTCTCAAGGGCCATTTTTTTCATGATATTTAGATGCAGCTATTTTTATCCTTTGCAAACTTTCTGCCTTCTCATTTTTCTGTCTCTCAAGGACAGTAATTACAGGAGGCGGGAAGGATATTTCAAGCATCTGTTTCAAAAGATCTAAGCCAGGAATTCCTTTGCACACCAAGAACTGGGGCTCGGAGCATGTCTTTTCTCCACACCAGTTCTCGTGCCTTACACTCCAGAGTGTCCCATGGTGGGTGCAGAGAGGAAGGACAAAACAGTAACTCCATTTCAGGCTGAGGGCTCCATCACCCGCCCAGCCTCTCCTTCCCCGGAATAGATGGGGGTGGGGCGGGAAGCTGCCGCAGCTTGTCTCAGTGAAGGGTTTTCTAGCAGCACAGTTCACACTTAACTCTCGTCAACTCGGGATGTGTCAAAGCGCCAGTGTAATGATTGTAAAGTGCTATAACTCATATTTGCGTGTGTAAATGTGCAGTCCTGTTTAGCCCCTTCCTGTCCCTGTGCAGCGCTAGCATGTGGTACTGAAGGCATTGGAGGCACAGAGGGTGACCGAGCATTTCTGCCCCCCATGAACACAGTATTAACATGTGCACTGTATTTCTATCAAGCCAGATTTCAATTAAGATTTTCTTTTCATGTTACTAGATTTGTGAATGAATAAACAGACATTTTACTTACTCTTACCATGTCCATAACATATTCATCTGTGTTTGCCATCACAAAAGATGAACACTACACACAAAACTGGTGGTTCCAGTGTTACCAAAGTAAAGTAGATACAGGCATATGTCACCCTCCACACAGTGCTGCCTTGGCCGGACAGAGATAGCTCCTTCTGAAGTTATTATCCGTCACTGGGTTTGACTCCTAACTTCATATTAAGAACCTGGTACTTGCTCTGTGGTTAGTGTCACCCTGTACACCGAAGGGTTGCAGGTTCGATTCCCGGTCAGGGTGCAACATATCAGTGGCAAAAGTAGGTGAAGATTGACCAGAAAAAGAACCTGGTACTTGACTTATTCCTGTGAGCCAATGTGTGTGTGGGAGACAGGAATGTGCACATGCTTGGTCATACCTGTGTGGAGAGAAGAACAAGATCTGAGAGCAGCAGCCAGTATAATCTTTTACTATACTGAGCTACCATCCACAAATTTAGTTACTGCACTTTATTCTGTTTATTCAGCTATTCTCTGAGCAACATCTGGGAATCCGTAGGTAAGTTAACATGTCTAACGATTTCATCTTGTATTCTAAACCTACTCCTTTAACTTCTAGTTTCATTATTAACCAACATTTTTCACAACGGAAAAGCGCACAGAACATCCCATAGTCTCCATGCCTAACTACAAAAGAGCAGGTCCAGAAATATTTTGCACAGTGACATTTCAGGAATATCGGGAAAGCCTCCCACGGTAATTGCTTTGAAGATCTTCTCAAATTACATGTACCTTCTTCTTATTAATATGGTATATAATACACTCAATCTTGCATGTTACCAAATCACTCTAGAAAGAAAAGTCCAGTAAGCTGAGCGTGAGTGACTTACCTTCCAGCTCCTCCACCAAATGAAAGGCCAGCAGAGTTCATTCCTGCCAGGACAAAGTAGCCCTGAACCAAAGGAGACTCGCCCATGATGCATCTCATGTCTGGCGTGAAGGTCTCAGGGCAATTCACCAACTTCACGATCTCCAGCATCTCCAATTCTGGCATCCTACGCAGGAGGGAGCTCAACAGGGGCTCTGAGCAATCAAAACAAAGCCAAACAGGGTCAGCTTCAGGGAATTCAAAACTTCCAACTCCTCATACTTCCCTACTCCCTCTCCTTTCATAAAATCTCTTGGAAGAGGTTTTCTAAGAAGAGTCATCCGGGCCATTTAACAGAAAGCAGAACCCTTGCTGGAATTATGAACACACCTAAGAAGTGCTTGGCGTGAAGACTGAGAAGATACCTGCAAAGGAAAGGAGCTACGGAAGAGCAAACAACGCGTGCGGTTACAGATGAGGATCTCGAAGGGCTCAGGGCTAAAGCTCTCACGTGGCACCCGAGGGAGATGCAATGAAAGGGCAGGGTTCCCTAAGCTGGAATGTCTGCAAAGACAGGCACCCGGCCTGTTTCAAAGTCAGTCCACCATCTGGGAGTAATCTGGTGGGCATGGTAACAGATGACACCAGAATGAAGCTGGTTGGTGGGTAAGTTTAAAATTTCCCATAATAAAGTAGGTTTACAGTTGTGAGTATGCAAAACAGAGTTTATTTTTTTTAATCCTCACTCGACATTTTTGCATTTATCTTCAGGCAGAGCAGGAAGGAGAGAGGGAGGGAAGAAAGAAACATTGATGTGAGAGAGACAATCAAGTGGTTGCCACCCACACGATCCCGGCTGGGGACAAACTGCAACCAAGGTACGTGCCCTTAGCAGAAACTGAACCCAGGACACTCTGGTCTGCGGGCCGACACTGTAACCGCTGAGCCAAACTGGCCAGGGCCAGAGTTTATTCTTATATTATTTATTAATTGTTGTACTTATTTGTATTATAACAATAAACTTACTTTGCCCACACCTGTATTTTTAAAAATCTATCAATGATTGGAGGGAAGCCCTTCATTATAGACCCTTTCATAACATTTGAATTTGTCAATCTGCAAGTGGTCCTGGCCCTCCGGACAGGAGGGCCCCCGTTCACGGAGGGAGGAGGAAGGAAAGGTCACCGCAGCTCTGCTGGAGGAACAGGTTTCTGATTTGGATACAAGAACCTGCGTTTTCCAGCCCCCACAAGAAAGTGTGGTCCCCAACATCTTTTTACTTTGTGACCATATAATCCTAAGTCTACACCACAAAATTCTGGAGACAACAGCTAAATGAGAAAACCAGTGACCTGCTATTGTTGCTAACCTACCTGACCAGCACAGTTGACAAAATACTGGCATTCGATCTGTCCTTTATCTGTCTCCACACCAGTAACTTGACCTTTTTTGACCATCACATGAACAACGCTTGTCCGGTCATAGATCTGAACACCTGTTCCGAGGTAAAGAAAGAATTGCGGCATTGATCCTCAGATGTTACAAATCAAGGCATGAGCAGCAGATTCTCAACTCATAAGAAATACTGAAAAGGCCAGGTCCATGCTTTAATTGAAAAAAAAAAAAATCTCTGAGGAACCACATCCTGACTGTAAATCAGACTTCTCAAGGTTAAAAATGGCAGGCAAATTTAATAACCAACTTCAGTGTACAAATGAATTCCAGGAATCATAAAATGGGCAGGGGAGAAAAAGTTCAAATAGGGTATCTTAAATCCTTATCTACCCATATCATGAATCAGTTCATTTAGAGTGCACAACACCATGGACACTGATATGTCTTCCCCTCATTCACTGCAAACCTGGGACATGATCCAAGCTGTGGATTAAATCTCTAAAGTGTGCTCTAACCTTGGAGCTTCTTAGGTCAGTGCGGAAAAGGAGTCCCTTAAGTCTGAAGTGTACTAAATCAGCACTAAAACAAGTTCCTTCAGACTTTAATAAGAAAAATGTGGCCCTGAGGGAAAAAATAGTAACAGATAGTATACTAAAACAAAAAACAGTGTACGAAATGATAGCTGAGTTGATATTGTTGCCTGTTGTGAGACACTTTCTTCCTAATCCCCAACCTGCTTACCATTTTGGGAGGCAGCACTTGCCAGGGCGAGAGCCACATCGGCGGAGGACACCACCGCATCCTCAGGGACGTGCATGGCCCCCACAAGGTCGTGCACATTGAGGAGAGGGTGCAGTTCGGCCACTTTCTTGAGAGAGATGATCTCAGAAGGGATGCCCATAATACTGCCACAGAACACAAGGGGACAATGACAGTCACTGGCCCTCTGGCGGATCAGGGTGACAGTACAGCCACGACAGGCATCCAGCCTCATACGTACTTGAGCCTGGAGTTGATGCGCTTCAGGGAGATCAGCCGGTCCTGAGTCTGGGCCAGAAAGATGGAGCCTGTCCTTATGTAACCTGTAAGGAAAATCAGCCCAGACTGAGACAGACCAGGAAAAACGAAGGGTGGCAAAGAGGCAGGCCCACGAGATTGTAAGTGACAAGACCATTCTTTTTGTTTGTTTGTTTTTTTAATCCTCACCCGAAGACATATTTTTGGTTTTTTGCATTTTTCTTCAGATAGAGTGGGGAAGAGAGAGAGAAACATCAATGTGAGAGACACACTGAGTGGCTGCCACCCACATGACCCCTACCGGGGCGGAGACAAACTGCAACCAAGGTACGTGCCCTTAGCAGAAACCGAACCTGTGACTCACTGGTCCACAGGCTGATTCGCTAACTGCTGAGCCAAACAGGCCAGGGCCATAAAATCATTCTTAAACTAAAAATGAAGATAAGCGAGATGTGGGGGTGCAGACAGTTCCATTACAGTTCGCTCTGATGGGGAGCAGAAAAGTGGGGCAGAAGTGAGGGATGACTGTGGGTAGAGCAAGGTTAGCTGGTTGATTTTAAAGACGGGAGCTGTTAGGAATATTCACTGCTGTGGGATTGACCCAGTAAAGGGAAAGAGATGGGTGAGAAAGGAGAAGCAATAAGAAGACTGAGGTCCTGGGGGAGGAAAGAGACAGGGTCACAGGCCTAAGTGAAAGAAGGCCTGCCTCGTGTTTCCATAGCTGATGTGGTACAGACTGAAGGCACGAGATGTTTCTTCTAGAAAAGCAGAGGATGACTTGTCAGTCTGATCACTTACACCGAGACACAGGTTGTAACCAAGCACACATTTCTACAGGTCAATAAATACGAATTAGAGAGGAAGAGTACAGGCCACGGCCATCGGGAGATATCACATAAGTGGGACTCAAGCTGAGCCTTGAAGGGGTAAGATTTGGACAAAGAGGGATGGGAAGCACACACAATAAAGTTACAGACAAGTCCGCCCATGGGTGCTTGTGGATGACAGTAAGGGACCAGACTTGGTGGGCTCAGTCTCTCTGAGTGCTGGGAGCAGAGACTGAAGTAAGGCAGAGCCAGACCATGGAAGACTCTGGATACTTGGCTGACTTGGTCCACTGTACTGTAATGAATCACTATAGGCTGAATGGGACAAAGGCAGGGTTTGAACAAAACTAATCTAACAGCAAGACAGGATTGAAGTAAGACCCACTGGCAGGCTATGCAGTCACTGAGGTATAAGGTGAGGACGAGGACGACAGTGGGGGGGGGGGGGGGCAGACAAGTGGACATCAGGGCAGCACACAGCTAGTAACTCACCACCACTACCTTCCACACTGGCCTCGGCACACACAGTTGGCTAAACATCAGCCCAAATTCTCTAAGGCCCAGGTACTGATGACGCCCATCCATCAGACAGGACTCTCAAACTGAGACCAATGCAAGCACAGACGGTGTCTCAGAGAAAGCCCATTCCACTGGGGACTAATCATTTTGGCCACCTTGTGACTGCCACCATGCCTCCCATCCTTGGTCCCTGTGAAACTGTCTCAAGACAGTCACTTCTTCACACAGCTGGTCTTCCTGTAATCTCATCTGCATTATGACCAACTTCTGTCCCCTGACCCAACCTGTCCCTTCCAGCTTCCCCCCCTCTAGCCGCCCCCGTGCCCTATAGAACACCCTATCCACTGAGACATCTACCTCCCTTCGCTAACGCTCTCCTCCCCCGTCTCAATGGAAATGTAGCTTTTCTGAGGGAACTGCCACTGAACGTGGCCAACCCTGTTTACTGACCTCACCATCAAGAGTAAGGTCTGCCCCTACCCCCCAAACGTTATAACTTGGTCATGCTTGAAAAAACCCTGTTCCTTTTCTGCTCACACTAGAAGGGACCCGTACCTAGCTCCAGCCTACTTCTCTGGACAGATCTCTGTCCACACAGGGGTCTCAACCCATGACACTGCTTCTCTCCTGCCCTTTGACCCCATCTCCTTTCTTCCTTCATTCTAAGCAGATAAGCTGTCTCATCTCATTTCCTGAATCTCCACCTATAGAACCACCTCTTCCTCATGTCATAGGGTCAGATCCTGTCTTGAACCTAGCTCCATCACCTGTCCTTTTCCTATCAAGTACCTACAATGTTCCATCTCCTTTTTCTTAGCATTTAATATGCTCAAGTCCCTCTTAACTGATGTAGGAAATGAAACAAAGCTCTACAACTCTCTTCAATTGGTGATTTTCAACTTTAAAGGTCTAAATTATAAAACTTGGGGACTTTACAAAAACTCAAATAACGGAGAAAGTTAAGTTTTCACATCACACATAAATAACCAATACCAGTGTTAATGAAACTTTCTCAGAATTGTGTGTGTGTGAGCAATGCACTGCCCTGATGTTCACCACCACCACATAGGTCTTAAGTCCTACTTTTCTTATACGTTAGAGACTGCAGTCTGCCAACTGTTTTTTTTTTTAATATATATTTTTATCTTTATTGTTAAATGTATTACAGATGTTCATTTTTCCCCCATTGACCCCTCCTCCCCACTCCCGCCTTTTCTCACACTGTTGTCTGTATCCATTGGTTATGCATATAAGTTCTTTAGCTTATCTCTTCCCATCCCCCAACCCGTTTCCCCTTAAGGTTTGTCAGTCTAGCAACCAATTTCTACTTCTTAATCCCTTCACCTTTTTCACCCATTTCCCCAACACCCCTTCCACTGGCAACCAACAAAATGCTCTGTTATCTATGAGAATGTTTCTGTTCTGCCTGTTCATTTTGTTTGTAGATTCAATTGTCGATAGATATGTATTCACTGCCATTTTGTTTGTTCAATATTTTATCTTTTTCTTCAAAAAGACCCTTCGACATTTCGTATAACAACGGTTTGGTGGTGATGAACTCCTCTGACTTTTTCTTGTCTGGGAAACTTTCTATATGGCCATCGATTCCAAATGACAGCTTTGCAGGATAGAGTAATCTTGGTTGTAGGTTCTTGTTTTTCATCACTCTGAATATTTCTTGCCACTCCCTTCTGGCCTGCAAAGTTTCTTTGGAGAAATCAGCTGACAGTCTTATGGGAACTCCCTTGTAGGTAATTAATTGCTTTTAAGATTCTCTCTTTGACCCTAGCCGGTTTGGCTCAGCACTTAGAACGTCAGCCTGTGGTCCGGAGAGACCGGGTTCAGTTCCCGCTAAGGGCATGTACCTTGGTTGCAGTTTGTCCCCGGCCCTGGCTGGCTTGTGCGAGTGGCAGCCACTTGATGTGTCCCTTTCACGTCGATGTTTCTCTCTCTCGCTCTCCCTCCTGCTCTAGCTGATCAAAAAATGGAAAAATGTCCTCAGGTGAGAATTAAAAAAAAAAAATTCTCTCTTTGTCTGGAACCTTTTGCATTTTGATGATGATGTGTCTTGGTGTGGGCCTCTTGGGATTCATCTTGTTTGGGACTCTCTGTGCTTCCTGGACTTGTATGTCTGTTTCCTTCACCAAGTTAGGGAAGCTTTCTGCCATTATTGTTTAAAATAGGTTTTTGATTTCTTGTTCTCTCTCTTCTCTTTCTGGCACCCCCAAGATGCGAATGTTGGCACGCTTGAAGTTGTCCCAGAGGCTCCTTACACTATCCTCATTTTTTTTTGTATTATTTTTTCTTTTTGCTGTTCCAATTGGGTGTTTTTTGCTTCCTTATATTACAAATCGGTGGTTTGCTTCTTGGCTTTACCTACTCTACTATTGAATCTGTGTAAATTATTCTTTATTTCAGTGAGTGCCTCCTTCATTTCTGACTCTGCATCCTTCATTTCTGACTGGTCCTTTTTTATGCTCTTGAGGTCCTCACTAAGTTCATTGAGCATCCTAATAAGCAGTATTTTGAACTCAGCATCTGCTAGGTTGCTTATCTCCATATCACTTAGTTCTTTTCCTGGGGTTTTGTTCTGTTCTTTCATTTGGGACCTATTTCTGTGTCTCCTCATTTTGGCTGCCTCCCTGTGTTTGTTTCTGTGTATTACTTAACAAGAGGTATAGGGCTAGCTGAGACCAGATGCTGCTTGTTTGAAAGAATTTAGGAAAACCTAAAGTAGGATCCAAGACAGGCCAATCCTATGGTTAAGCAACTGGCAACAGCTTGGGTGGGCCTGAAATGGGTGGGGTGGGGCCTCAGGGAATCACCAGGGCAGGGCAACCAGTGTGAGTCAGGTTGTTGGAGTCCCAGATATGGCAGCTGTCTGCCACCCCAGGGAAGGGCTCACCAAAGGAACAAAGGCCTCTGACAGCACCTTTGTCCCAGAGAAAGTCCCCTCTCCAGCCCTCGCTCCAATGCCAAACAGCTCAGTTCTTCCCTGTGTGTCTCTGGTGCCCCTCGAGCTGCCTCCCCTCCAAGCTTAGAGGAAGAGAGTCCGCTAAGTCCGTGCGCTGGCCCTTTAAGAGGAGCTGCCTGGGGCTCCAGCCGCTTCAGCCTCCTTGAGCTTCAGTTCCTGCTGGTTTTTCCAGCCAGAAGGTATGGGGACTTCTCTTCCTGGCACTGGAACCCTGAGCAGGGTGCCTGGTGTGGGACGGAGACCCCTCAGTCCTCAGGGAGGACATTCCCAGCCGAGGTGTCCTCCTGACTTTTATCTGCCACACATGGGTGTGGGACCAGCCCATCCACCTCTGCCCCTCCTACCAGTCTCAATGTGGCTGCTGCTTTAGTTCTGTAGTTGTAGGACTTCCATTCAGCGGTTTTGAATGATGGTTGTTCTATAGTTTAGGTGTAACTTTGTTGTGGTTGTGGGAGGACGTGATACCGCGTTTACCTACCTGCCATCTTGACCGGAAGTACTTGCCAACTGGTTTTTTAAGCAAAAATTTATTCTTAACATGTATTTTACAACCTATTTCACTTGACAACAAATAATATATAGAAAGGGTTGCTTATATTGTTTTTCAGTTTTCATCCATCCTACTCCCTCCTGAATCAAAAGCAATTGGCTTCTGCCCCACCTCCCACACCCCCCACCACTGACGAGTTCTCCCTGGGAATGCTGTGCTGCTAATTTCCAAGGACACCTTCTGGGCACCATCTCACTTGACCTCTCCACAGCAGCTGACAGTGCTGATCACGCCTCCTACTGACACACTCTTTCCTCCCTTTATCTGAACCCTACTTCCCTGGTTAGGTCTTTGCTGACCTCTCTCCTCTGCCCATTCCCTATATGTCGATATCCCTCAGGGTTGGGAGACCAGCTGCTCTTCTCAGTCTACCACTCTCCAGGGTGACTTCCTTTCTACCATGACGGATGGCCTACCCCAGAGAAGTCTTGAGCTTTCCACCTGCACATCCAGCTGAAGAATGACCATCTCTACTTGTATTACCATAGGTCAAACTGCGCACATTCAAAAGGTAAACACATCCTCTACAATGTCCAAATCTGTTCCACTTCCTGTGACCCCCCCGAGACTCCATATACTAGAATCCTGGGTGTGATCCTGGATAACCATGCTCTGAGCATTACCTCGGAGCGGGACATCTTACTTGAAGCCCTCTCCCTCAACACTTGGGTAGGTGACCTTTCTATGTTTTCTCGTCACACACTGCACTTCTCTCAGCACAGAGTTTGACACACTACGTAACAGTTGGTTTGTAATCAGGGAAGCAACATAGCAACCCAGTGAGACTATGGGCTTTAGAGGCAGACAGAGCTGGGTTCAAAATGTCCCCAACCTCATATTAGCTGTTCGGCTTGAGCATTATTCAATCTCTGTACTGCAGGCTGCTCATCTATACTATGGCCTCAGAACACCTACCTCAAATGGCTGTTACAGACTAAATAAGACAGTACAGGAAAAACATGGCCCCTGGCACCTAAGAAGCACTAAGTGGTAGATTTTAGGGGCTCTTTGAGAGCAGGGACCATTTATAACTGGATCATAATTTTCCTAGCATTCAGCATAGGCACTTTGGAAATATAAGCTGATGAATGAATGAAAACAGAGAAAAAAGGAGATGGGGGAAAATTCAGTGATGACTCTGAGATCTCAATCTTTAGGCCCCCAGGCTTGAGGAGATATCTAAATAACCTGAAAGAGCCTGGCCGGCGTGGCTTAGTGGTTGAGCATCGACCCATGCACCAAGAGGCTGCCGGTTTCATTCTAGGTCAGGGCACATGCCCAGGTTGTGGGCCTGATCCCAGTGGGGGCACGCAGGAGGCGGCCAATCGATGTTCTTTCTCACTGATGTTTCCATCTCTCTCTACCTCTCTCTTCCTCTCTCCCTAAAATCAGTAAAGAAAAAAATAAAATAATCTGAGAGAATTTTTAAAAAGAACAAAAGGCAATATTGATACAGATAGTTACAATGTGCCAGACACTGCTTTACATATACAAATGAACTAATCCTCATCACCCTATAAGGTAGATATTGTAATTTCTAGACTACACTTGAGGAAACTGAGGAACAGAAAAGTGAAGTGACTTTTTAGTCCCCCATAACACTGGTGAGTGGCAGAATCAGGGGTCAAACCCTGCCAGTCTGGTACTAGAGTCTGTCATTTAATCATTACTCCATGCTACCTTTACAGTTAAACCAAACATTCAGTCAAGATGGCAGAGTAGGTAAATGCTGCCCTCACCTCCTCCCATGATCACATCAAAATTACAACTAAATTATAGAAAAACCATCACTGAGATCCACCTGAAGACTAGCTAAACAGAAGTCCTAACACTAAGGATATAAAGAAATCACATCAAGACTGGTAGGAGGGTGGAGACACAGAATGGGCAGGTCCCACACCCATGGTGTGTTGATTAAAAATTAAGCCCTGGCCAGTTTGGCTCAGTGGTTAGAGCGTCTGCCTGCGGTCCGGAGAGACCCGGGTTCGGTTCCCACTAAGGGCATGTACCTCAGTTGCAGTTTGTCCCCGGCCCTGGTTGGTCGTGCGGGTGGCAGCCACTCGATGTGTCCCTTTCATGTCGATGTTTCCCTCTCTCTCTCTTCCTCTCTCTCCCTCCCACTCTGTCTGTACAAAAAATGGAAGGGTGTCCTCGGGTGAGGATAAAAAAAAATACATATATATATATATATATATATATATATATATATATTTAAAAAAATTAAGAGGGATATCCCCGTTGCAAAGGTCCCCCCTAAGGGGTGAGGAATATCAATCCCAAACCAGCTCCCCCCAGCCTGGGGCACCAGTGCTGGGAAGAGACCCCTTAACACCTGGCTGTGATAATCCATGGGGATTATGGCTGAGAGAGACAGAGGGCTTCTAGAGTTCCAGGCAGTCCCTTAGAAAGATCCTGCACATGGACTTGCTTGTTCACAGACTCACTGAATCTGGGAGCCAGAACAGGGATAGCAGTTCACAAAGCACCAGAGACAGATGAGGAGGAACTAAATAAACTAGCTTCAGGGCAAGTTCTGGAGGAGCAGAGGTCAGGGCAACTTTTTCTGAGGACAGAAGTGCTGCTGGCAGGTGTCCTTTGTTCCTTTGTTGTACTCTTCTCCCAACCAGCCACCCAGCACAGGCAGGGGCCATGTCTGAGCTCTCCACTAGCATTGCCAACACTGTTATCACCCTGGTAAGTCCCTAAGATCTGGCTCCACTCAACTCAAGTACCCAGCCCCAGCTGCTTCCAGCAGCTTTTCCACAGGAGTGGTCAGTCTTGGCTTACACTATGTACTTTTCTAAAATCTCTGAAAGATCCACAAGCAGCAGTTGGACTCATTATGCCCTGTACCTCTAGCTAAGTGGCCCCAAGCCAGGCACAAGTGGTGACTGGTCTCAACTTGTATTGTAACTCTCATCAGGCGGCCCCAAGCCTGGCATAAACTGCAGCCAGTGTTGACTTGAAATGTAGCTTTAACTACATGGCCACAAACCTAACACATGTGATGGCTGGCCTCAGTTCCCGTCATGGTGCCCAGCGAAGGGTCTCAAGCTCAGCACTGGTGGCAATTGGCCTTAGCTCACAGCCTAACCTCTCCCAAGCACCTCCAAGCCCAGCACAGGTGGGGACCAACCACAGGTCACTTTGTAGCTCCCACCAGATGGCCTCATGCTAAGCACAAATGGTGGCTGACCCTGACCTGCACCAGAGTTCCTCCAGTAGCCAGCTTCAAACCACAGCAGAGCACCACCCAACCAGCTCCACAAATGAGACATTCCAAGGGCAGACTCGGTTGGTACCAGAGCCCTGCTAAAGTGAGTCCCACTCTGTGGGGTCAGCCCCCACACAACAGCTTGTCCACTGTCACAACCAGCCTGATGGTCAATCCCCCTCCCCCACAACCTAAGGGGTAATCCCCCCACAAAAACAATCAAGGCTCAACTACAACAAGAGTGCACAAACAACCCACACGAGGAATACCCCGAGCACCTGGCTCAGGTGACGAGGGAGAATGTGCCACTGGGCCTCACAGGATACTTACTGTGTAAGTACACTCTGCCAAAAGAAGGAGACCTAACAGTGCTACCTAATAATACATGGGAACAGAGAGAGTCAGCCAGAATGAGGAGGCAAAGAAACATGTCCCAAATGAAATAACAGGACAAAACCACAGAAAAAGAACTAAACAAAATACAGACAAGCAATATAATGGACAGAGTTCAAAACACTTGTTATAAGGATGCTCAATAAACTTAGGGGAAGAAGAAATGAACTCAGTGAGAACTTCAACAGAGAGACAGAAACCATAAAAAAGAACCAGTCAGAAATGAGTAATACAATAAAACGAAGAATACATTAGAGGGAATCAACAGCAGACTAGATGAAGCAGAGGAACAAATTTGCTATCTAGAAGACAAAGAGGCAGGCAGAAAGCACATAATCAAAACAGCAAAACAAACAAAAAACATTTTAAAATGAGGATAGTTTAAATAGGACAACATCCAGCGTACGACGTTCACATCATAGAGGTACCAGACGGAGAAGAGAGACCAAGAAACTGAAAACCTATTTAAAGAAATAATGACTAAAATTACCCTAATCAGGTAAAGGACACAGACATGCAAGTTCAGGAAGCGCAGAGAGTCCCAAAAAAGATGCACCCTGCCCTGGCCTGTTTGGCTCAGCGGTTAGAGCGTCGGCCTACGGTCCAGAGAGACCTGGGTTCAGTTCCCACTAAGGGCAGTTTGTCCCCGGCTGTGGTTGGGTCGTGTGGGTGGCAGTTACTCGATGTGTCCCTTTCACATCGATGTTTCTCTCTCTCTCTCTTCCTCTCTCTCCCTCCCACTCTATCTGAACAAAAAATGAAAAAATGTCCTTGGGTGAGGATAAAAAAAAAAAGATGCACCCAAAGACGTTCAAACCAAGATACATCATTATTAAAATACCAAAAGTTAAAGACAAAGAGAGAATATTAAGAGTAGCAAGAAAAAAGCAGTTAGCTGCCCTGGGTGGTTCGCTCAGTGGTTAGAGCATCGGCAGCAAACCAGAGAGTCCCAGGTTCAGTTCCCGCTAAGGGCACATACGTCAGTTGCAGTTTGTCCCCGGCTCCAGTTGGGGTCATGTGGGCGGCAACCAGTCAATGTGTCTCTCTCATTTCGATGTTTCTTTCTCTCTCTCTCTCTCTTCCCTACTTTCTCCCTCCCACTCTATCTGAAGATAAATGCAAAAATGTCCTTGGGTGAGGATAGAAAAAAAAAGCAGTTAGTTATGTACCAGGAAGCTCCCATAACTATCAGGTGATTTCTATTTTATTATAATTTTTTTCTATCCTCACCAGAGGATATTTTTCTATTTATCTTCAGGTAGAGAGAGAGGGGGAGAAAAGGAGAGAGAGAGAAATATCAACATGAGAGGGACACATTGACTGGCTGC